GCGTTATCTTCGCGGGCTGATCGCGCAAGCGTAACGTGCTCGCCCGCCAAATGAACAGCTCCGGCCTTCTTTTCGCAGTGTCGACGCCGATGCGAACAACGTCGAGCTTAGCCTTTCTCTCTCTCACCACCACCCAAATTCTTGCGTTGGCTCAAGATTGCGATCACTGACAAGCGCCTGTCGGGGGCTCCGAGCCATTTTTAAGCTCCAGGACGCCGAGCAATACAATTCCACCATACCCACGAACTATTGCGAGCGAGACAAACTCCGCCCCTCTCGAGCTGCCGAAATCCTGGAATCTCGTTTCCTGAAGGCCAGAACTTCAAAAAAAGGCCTCATCACGATCCATGATTTCTGGATAAAGGCTGCGATCCGTGTCTGGATGGTACTCAGCCATCACGCGCTCTCCCCCATCCCTGCTATGCCCGGCCGCGTCCATCCACCCACGCCGTACGCCATTCATTGTCCCTCGCAAACACTCAATAAAATATCCATGCGCGTGAGAACGCTCCAACATTCTGGGACGACGGCAGGGACGCGTGACGCCTCACACCGACACACCCGGTCAAATTCAGTCTGGCCAACGTCGTTCGACTCTCTTTCTTTCGACTGTTCTTATGTGGCAGCTGTCAAGCATCAAAAGAGGACATGGATTTCGTATTTAGATTCGGGAATTTAAGCATTCAGAGTTATACGACTTGCAAAAAAGAACATTCGGGGGCGTGCAGCACATGAAAACACACAGGTGAAGAACGGGAAAAGGGAGAAAAAAAGGGGGTGGCAGACAAGAAGTGGCGTGGCAAAAAGAGTTGAAAGTGTGTGCGGTCGTGAACGTTTCAATTTGCGGAATGACAGTGGCGTACAGTTGGAGGTTGGTCCAATGATGTCGTGATAAACGGGAACGGTTCAGTACCGTGGAAGTCGATGAGCGGATGTAGTAGAAGAAAAGAAGAGAAAAAGCGCGTGCTGGGCGGACACAGAAAATTGAAAAGAAGAGTAGGTAGGGGGGAGAGGGGGGCTCATGTTAGAAGCGGGGAAGGTAAACAAAACATCAAAACTGAGACACATGCCAAGCCAGTCAGCCTCGGTGCTCGACCCGCCAGAGAAAACGGAAAAAAAACGCGAGGGTATAGGCGACTTCGCTAGGCAGTCGCGGGATTGTTTCCCGCAAGCATCGCTCGGGAAGAGATCTCGACATCCGTAACCCGCTTGTCTTTATCCCGAGGTAGTCAGGGAGCCGCTTAATCCAAGCTGATCTTGAGTTCCTCAAGCGGTATCGGCACAAAGTTGTCCAGGTTGATGCCTCGCTCACGCAATTTCGACTCGGCGTGAGGTGGAATGAGTTTGTGGTTCAGGTCGGGTCGGATGGAAAGCTCTGAACAAAAGAGCATGTCAGCAGTGAGACATCTTGACGATAATGCCCAACCAACCCACCTTCTTTCGTGAAGTCGAAGAGCCTGGGGAGCTCTTTTCCATTTGGCATCCTCGTGTTGTCTTGGCGGAGCTCGTCGAATAGATGATGCGTCATGGCCTCAATAGCGCTCAACCTCGCCGTGGGCGTGTATTCCAAGAGCTTCGATACGAGGTCAATCGATTCCGGCGTTGTGCGAGGACGGAAGACCTAGACCCACATATTAGCGCCAGACGAAATACGACGTAAAAAGGATATGTACCTTTTGGAACGGGTGAGGTTTGATCTGTGGGAACTTGTGCTCCATGTAGTTGGGGTTCATGGTCTTGATCTGTTCCCGAGACGGGGTACCCAAGACTTTGATGATCTCCACAAGCTGATCAATGCCGCTCTCTCCAGGGAAGAGCGGCTGGCCGAGCATCAACTCGGCCATTACGCAACCCGTCGACCAAATGTCGATGTTGGTCGTGTAGTTGGTCGCGCCGAAGATGAGCTCGGGAGCGCGGTAATACCGCGAGCAGATGTAGCTCACGTTGGGTTCGCCCGGAACGAGGATTTTTGCAGATCCGAAGTCGCACAGCTTGAGCACGCCGGTGGCGGGATTGAGCAGCAGATTCTGGGGCTTGATGTCGCGGTGGCAGATACCGACGGAGTGGATGTAGGCAAGAGAGCGCAGGAGTTGGTACATGTAGAGTTTGATTTGTAGGTTGGGCATCGGTTGCTTGAGCTTGACGTAGTGGCGCGACGCGCGGTACACTGTCTCTGGCACGTATTCGAGCACGAGGTTGAGGTACACTTCATCTTTCTATAGGCGAGCAAGATTAGAGGTGAGGCGAACAGAGTGAGACAGGCGAGCCACGCATTACTTTATCTCCGTTGGAGTAGAAAAAATTCCTGAGCTCAACGACGTTGGGGTGCGACACCAGTCTCATGATCTGCAGCTCTCGATTCTGTTTCGAGATGTAGCGATCAATGGACAGATTCCGAACGCGCGCGGTTATAATGGCCACAAACCTTGAAACGCTTGTCTTGCAACACCTTCTTGATTGCGATGTCTTCCTGATCCCTCGTGGAGCCAACGAGCTTGGCTTGGAAAACTACGCCAAAGGAGCCATTTCCGATGACCTTGCAGTTCGTATACGATATCTCGCTCTGGAGACCCGATTTGCCATCGGAAGCGATGACTTTGATTACTCTATTTGGGTCGTCGATCGCTGGGAGAGCGGAATAAAATTGCAGTGGTGGAGCACCCCCAAGAGCCGATGTCAGCGACGGTGTTTCACAGACGAGAGAGGCAGAACGTGAAGGATTGAACGCAGAAAATCGAGGCAGGGGTGCGGAGAATGCTTTCCAGAGGAGAAGAGGCGCCTAAAAAGAACAAACTACGCACGAGAGATCTTGATGCCGTTGATTGGACCATGCGCCATTTAGTAAATAGGAGAGGGGGAGACGTGCGCGAAAATGGGTGATGATGGGCAGAAAATAGGGGCTGGGGGCGAGGGACACGACGGCGAAGAGGGGTGGACGACGGGGGCGACGACGGCGGGGGAGGGGTGGTGGAGGGGGAGGAGGAGGGGATGGGAGAGAAGCGTAGGGTGGATCGAGCACCTCTCGTGACCTCTGTTTGGGCACACCGCCACTGCCACACACAGCCAAATATCGTCCTCGTCGCCGGCTGGCGTCAGTTTCCTCCTTGGGCGTGGCTCCTGCGCGCGGCCAGCGTTGCAGCTGCTTCGGTGACGACGTGGACTCCATCACATCCAGCGTCACCCGCGCACTCGCCGTCACCCGCGCCTGCGCGCACGGCCCACCCGTAGGCCAGCGTAGTTGCTTGCCAACTGGTGGAGTCGGCGCTTCTTTCTTTCCATGAGGCTTCCTGGAAACCAGGTGCACTCCACCAACTCAGTTCTCCTCGTCTGCAGAATGCTGCGCGCGCGGCCGTGGCTGCCTCTGCCCACATGCCTAGCGACAAAAAAGCTTCTGCGCTCTTTAGGATCCCTGTCTGGCGTTGTGTAGAAACCCAAGAGCAGCTGCCGGGAATTCTGCAAGGCACGCCAATACGATTCAGGATGCTTGTTAATGACTCCGTTCGCACTGCCTCTGGTGGCTCTTTTATTAGCACCACAGGACGTGCGAACTGGTCTAACGACTTTCGCTTCCACTCCACCATCACAGGCTACTTTGGAATTCAGAGGTGCAATTGCAACGCTACCTTCTCGCCAGAGATGAATCCTTCTGATGCCCTCCCCGGCGTTCAACCCTATCGTGTTCATTTCGAATACACCACACCGCCACCGCATCCTGGATCGTCGTGGACGCGCTGGGTCTGCATTTCTGACACCCATGGTCACACCTTCACAGTTCCCGATGGTGACGTGCTCGTCCACGCTGGCGACTTGACCTCCTGGGGGAAAATGAACTCCTTGGACAGCACAATACAGTGGATAAAGGGCTTACCCCACAGAACAAAGATGTGAGTTTGTTTGCAGATACCTCCTGTAGCTTCCTATCTCATCACAGTTGAACAATAGACTCGTCGCGGGCAACCACGATGTGAGCTTTCTCAGTGCCTCCAAGATCTTGTCTCTGAGAATTTCTGCAGGAATTGCTGGATTCTAAACTGTTTGAGGACGGGCTGAATAACATAGAAGCGACTGAAGATGTGCGTCTTCCCGACCTATCTACCCATGTTCGGTGTCTGAGCCCGATCATCATGTTAACAGGACTTGGCTCGGGCAGCTGACCTCGTTAAAGGCCCAGAAGCGTTGAGCAGCGGGATACACTACCTCGAGTACGAGTCATATGAGTTTCAAGCCAAGCCTGGTGGGCGAACATGGAAAGTCTACGGAAGTCCTGTGCGAAACCTATCTCTGGGCTCCCACCGCATCTCTTACTTCTTTTCTATCTGATCAGGGCAGCCCACAGTACAGCGGAGGAGGGTTCCGGTACTTTCAGGGAAAAGAAGCTGATGGTTTTGTCCCCCTCATCCTGTCGCCTTTCATCCTTACGCCTAACGCCGCTATCCGCTCTCCTAAGCGATCAACGCTCGCATCCCAGCGGATATCGACGTGCTGTACGCTCGATTTCTCATTTTTCAGCCATCAGCACCTCATCTTCACACTCTTTTTAGAATAACTCACACTCCACCAGAAGGCACACTCGATACACTTCGAAATGGATCCACGCACGCAGGGTGTGGATCTCTCGCAATACGCGTCTCACGACCGGATTTCACACGTTGTCGATTGCACGTCTTTGGTCATATCCATGAGGCGCGAGGGGTGACTACTGTCCCGGTAAATTGTGGTGAAGAAATCGAAAGGGTATGCGCGAATGCAGCAAAATCCCATCGACGCGCAGATCAGCCACCTGTTATTGTTGACTTACTGGACGACATCTAACCAGGATTTGAAGTTACACTACCTAACGCTGTATCTCCGTGCATCACTCGGTTTCCCACCAAGCTTCTCAAAACTGGACTGGCGTCGAAGACGATTTGACTCGATGGGAGGCCACGCGCGAATGTGCCTCCTGCCGTAGGGGATTCAAAAACCAATATTATGGAAATCAAAAAAAAATGAATCAATAGTGGAAGCAGTGGGGTTCGAACCCACGATACATTACTGAACGGGGAAGCTTATAAGCTTAAATCCCGCGCCTTAACCACTCGGCCATGCTTCCTAAGATGACCTCCTCATTGGAACGATTTTGGTTGTATCACTGTGATACTTTGTTGATTTGGTCGCACCTCATTTTCAAATTCTTTCCAGCTTGCATTTATAGACTCGTGTTCGTTTTGCATTATGAAACAGTGTGATTGATAGAATGAAAAGAAGACAGGAGTGGAAATAGTTATGTAGTCTAGTGAGTCCGAGATGCATATGAGACAGACCGTGCGTGTGAGGTGAGGAGTGAGAGAGCGCCGATGATAACGAAACAGGAATATGACAAAAAGACCGATAATGGACAGAAATGAGAGAAAGAGCGTGATGGATCCTGGTGTCTATGTATCCGCATCTTTAGGTGGAGGGGGTGGTGGGCTCTCGTCCTGCGAGAGCTCGGCCGAATCAGGAGCTGATCCTTCCTTCGAGTGATCGCCATCTTTCCTGGGCCCTTCATCGACTTCCTCGAGGACGGTGTCTGATAACACGTCACCCTTTCCGTCTGCATCGCCGTTGAGGCCAACGAGTTCTGCTCGCAATCGAGATCGTCTACCGACACCTGATCCAGAACGCGAAGGTCTTGGAGACGAAGGCCGGAAGCCGTCCATCTTGAGAGCGGCAAGCATATCTTTTGCCATGTCTGCTGTGTCCGCGCCTATCCCAGTGCCTCCCGCAGGTGCAGCCTCTGGGGTGCTGCCCGGGACAGAAAGATTCAGTGGCGCGGGGGCCTTGGCTGCGTCGCTCGCCCGCCCGCCTCGTTTTCGACGATTGAGGTTGTCCCCGTTCCGTAGTTTCTCCAGGATGGTGTCCAAAACCAGCGTGTTTCCATCTTCGTCGGTCGCCGCCGCTTCCATGGATTTGCTTCGTAGTGCTTTCATCTCTTCTTGTTGCTGTTTACGCCGCTCGTACGCCTCATGCTCCTCGGCTGCAGCAAGATTCTCAGCCTTGCATTTCTATAAACCACACTAATCAGAAAAGGTGCATGAAACCGCATTTCAAATAGGGGCAGACGTGCCTTGTAGGACGTCACAAACGTCTTGAATATCCCGTAAAACTCGGAGGACGACATATTCCTGTCGGCCTCTCCATAGTGCTTGAGGACCTCGACGAGCGTGGAATCGGCGAGCGTGACCTGATCGATTAGATCCTCGAGGCGATCGCCAGTTTCCCCAACAAACCTCCACATCTTCTTCGCGTATCGATCATCTTGTTTCAATGAATCGACATCGGAGAAATGCTCATTGAGCTCTGATCTGATCTGCTTGAGGCCTGTACGAAGCTCGGAGAGCCCCTTCCGGATTTCTTGAAGATTATCTAAGGGCCGACTGCATCAGTTTGGGAACAAAGAAAAGCCGTGCAAGCGCAGTAAATTACCTCGGTACGCCTCGGCCGGCTTGGCCAGCTCGTCCAGGAATCCTTCCATGTCTGGGAAGTGCTTGGACACAGTTCGCTCTAAGAAATGCAGCAGCGTCGTGTTGTTCACGGATTTTGTGTCGACCAGCTGGAAAGCAAGTCATAAATCACCTTGCTTTTACACTAACATTAGTGCACGCACGAACCTTGTTTATGCTGCTGACTCTGAAACCATAGGCGCCTCCTTTGATACCCGACCCGTTCATGTAATTGCCAATAAGAAGGATGAGCTGAAGGGACAACGTCAGAGGTAACGCGAAGAGAGTAGATGCTCAAACTTACGCTCATTAGCTCCTTGAACTTGACGGCACCCTGTAGAGCCTTCCCCGCTTCAACCAGTTTCTTCGATCCCTGCAGAGTGCAAAGCCGTCAGCCTGCGGTTGACAAATGCAAGCCCTGACAACCGACCTCCTCCAAAAGGACAAATGCGTCCTCAAAAGTAACCTTGTAGAGCATACCCTCAAGCCTTGGACCAAGGCGATCGATCTTGATGAGTTGTACCATCAACCTGTCCGAAGGGTGAAGCCCGCCAAGTTCTTCTGGGGAAGCGTTCTTGTAAACATTAAGCTTGCCCACCTGCGATTCACGGATTAGTATTAGCGCAATGTGGTTAGAACGTAGGCACGCACTTGTTCTGGTGACGGGAGGACTGGCTTAAGTTCACGGAGGAAAACTTCAGTGCAAACGTCGGGGTCGAACTGGATGATTTTGAGTGCGATTTCCTCTGGCGCCAGCTTCTTGACACGCTGAATCAAAATCTCTGTTTACAAGCGGTAGTCAGGTGGAGAAGCGGATTTGACTTGCAACGAGTAGGTTACTCACCAACGCGCTTTTTGGTCGCGGGGTCAAGCACGCTCTTCAGCTCAGCCCGCTTTTGTTTAGCTGCATAGCGTACGTTAGGGGGCAAAAAATATGAGAGGTATGGTGGCTCCATACCCATGAGGTTAATGACGAGCTGCTTCGCCTTGAAATCCTTCTCCATCTCCTCCCACACGCCATCGGACTGCAGCTTCATGATCCATTCTTTCTCCTTTGCAAGCTCTTCGCGACTCCACATGGTCTTGGCCACCTCCTGTTGCGGTAGCTTATCCCATTGCAGTTGCTTCATCTTTGTCCCGGCGGTAAGAAGCATATCTTTGCGTGCAGCAAGTATGCTGTTCAATGCGTTGATATTGGTGGACATGGCAGAGGAGCGCGCAGAGTTTGCGACAGACGTATTTCCAGACATCATGCCTTTGCCAAATGGTGGAGGTGGAGGGGGCGGAGGAGGCATTGATCCCGGAGGGAAAACGCTGACTCCACCGAACGGCGGTGGGGGTGGAGGAGGCGGAGGGGGTGGGGGTGGACCTCCTGATCCCGCTGAGATGGCTCCGGGAGGAGGTGGGGGCGGAGGTGGTGGTGG